ATAAGAAGAGAGTTGTGGGAATCCTGATTTATGGCCATTTGGTCAGAAGCATAGGCCAAACAAGGTGGAGGTGAGACTGGTATCAGAAGTGGGGGGCAGTCTTGTGGGGCTGAGTCTTAGCCTGTAGGATCTGAAGTTTCCTCCTCTAAGTAGATGGTGTCAGAATTAAAGTCACTCAGATGGTGATCTCCTTGGTGTATGGAGGAAGACTCCACAAACAGCTAGTCATAGAAATGTTGTTAGCATATTGTTCTGAGGGTTTAGCAGGAGAAATAGAGCTCTTCCCACCCTGTATCTGCAGAATTATATAACAATCTTTATTATTGTCTGTAGTATTTAGAGATAAAGGAGCATGATTTTTGCAATTATCAAATGGTTCGTAACAATTATGTACATAAGAATGTGTTTAAAAATAAAAATATAAGGGCTGAGGATATAGCTTAGTTGGTAGAGTGCTTGCCTTGTATGCATAAGTCCCTGGGTTCAATCCCCAGAACCACACACATACATACACACACAAAAAAATACAAGTATATACTCATATATGAGAGAATAGAAATGATAAAAATGTAGCAAAATGTTAATAAAATGTGAATATGGGTAAAGGATATACAGTTGTTCTTTTTACCACTTTTTCAATATTTAACGGAAGGTTCTTTTTTTTTGTATTAAATGGTTTACTGAAGTAGCACACAGAAAAATTGTTGTTATCTATAAAAATGCTGTATTTGGCTATCTGAGACCATTTTCACAAAATATACAGACTGGGTAATTTATAAATAATAAAATTTATTTCCCACAGTCATGAAGGTTAAGGAGTTCAAGACCAACACCATGGTTGGTATGGTGTCTGGTGAGGACTGCTCTTTCTGTTTGCAAAATGGTGCCTTATTGCAAGAGACTCTCTCTTTAATTTCATGCCCTTTCACAAGGGTGCTAATCCCATTTGTGGTCATGGAGCCCTCATGACTGAATGACTTCCCGCAGGTCTTAATACTGTGGCACTGGGGATAAAATTTCAACATGAACTTTGAAGGAGACATTATCAGTTAAGCCATAGCATGCACTTTTATAATGATTTCTTTAGTTTTGTTTCCATACTTACAGATTATACCTTTTTATTCTGTTTGGTAATTTAACAGCATTAAATTTCACCTGCTAATGTAAGACTGGTCTGTACGTTCAATTGAAAACAGAATTTTTAAAAGTACAGACGACATGATTAATGGTTACTGAGGCATGAAGAATTGCTTGCTTTAAATGATGTTCACAATTTTGAGATAGCATCTAAAACCATTAGAGGAAGTCCGATTTTGGACAGGAAGTAAAGACTGTATTAGGCTATAGCAAAGTAACACAAATTACTTTTCCTGAATTAACAAGAAAAAAAAAACATTAGTTTACTACAAAGGAAAAATACTAATTGCCTTCAGGAGGTGATTAAGTCACGAGAGCTCCATGAGCCTAAGTGGGATTAGCACCCTCATAAAAGGGCAGAAATTGAAGAGAGTTCTCTTGCAATAAGGCACCATCTTGGAATCAGAAAGAGCAGTCCTAACCCAGGATTTTGAGTATTTTAGAGGAAGTTTTTCGTTTGCTAAAAAGTCTTTATTGAATCATAGTTCTTTGTTCTTCCTTAGTTAAGAGCAATGTACAACTTCACTGAGGGGCTAGCAACACTGCCAACACATACATGGTTCTATTGTAGGTCTAGGGCAGGAATTCTCAGTCTATGTACCACTGATACTTTGGGACAGATGATTCTTTGTTGTGGGTCCTGAACATTGATGCATGCTTAGCAGCAACCTTGACTTCTGCCCTTGGGATGCCAGTAGCAGTTTCTCCCAGTGTGAAAAACAAGAATGTCTCCAGATACTGCCAAATGTCCCTTGGGGGAAAAACTGCCTTCAGCTAAGCATCACTAATCTAAGATGGTATAATTTAGATAAAAATTTCCCATATATTTAAAGTTAATTTTACATGATGAATAAAGTGTTTAGAAAATTAAATACTGTGCCCTAGTATTTACTGTAAAGTAAAATCCAAAATGTTTGGCCTGCTGCGTTGTAATGGAGGCCTCCTTTCCTTGTCCCTTTCCACAAGAGGGCTGCTCTATTAGCACGTTCTTGACTTGCGAAACACACTGTGCATCCTTCCCTGTATTAGAAGTGCACCTGATTTTCTCCCCACGTTCAGATGTCACAGTTATAGCGGGGTACTCTTTCTTACTGTGTGACTGGATGAACAGTACACATCAGAAAAGGGGGCCAATGCAGAAGCCAGGTGGGGCTAATTAGGTCTCCTTCCTGGGCGTGCACCTTTATCTTGTGACTATCTTTGGGTAACAAGTAAGTGAGGCAGAGAAATGCAATATAAAACAATTAAAAGAAGACATGCAGCCCCCAAGAAAGGGAAGGAGGCCAGTGGGCCAGCTCATGGGCATATCCTTCATGACATCTATTAAAAAAACCACTCTGAGATCTCCCCCTACAAACATTCTTTATTAGTGGAATGATTGTGAGCAAGTCACTTTTTCTATCAAGATTTCTGTTTACTCATTTGGCAAATAAGAAGGATGGGCTGGAAGTTAACTGTGCATTCTTTAGCTCAAGTATATGACTATGACATAAATCATTGATACTGTCTCCTGACACTGTTTTTTAACTGTAAAACTGTTGAATTACCACTTGGCTTTTCATGAGCACTTCTTCCCAATAAGTATAGACGCTCCCTGAAAGCAGGAACGGAACACTGTTTACTTATTGTGGGAAGGAGCAATCACAAACTGCAGGCAGTAAGTTCATGGGAATCACTCAATTATAACAAAAGGTCTGACTGCCATTTGTAAATTGACAAGATAACATGTCCTTGGGTATGAGTCTCCATAGACCCCAGGACTGACATAGTACCTAATTTCTCATCTTTTTATGTTCAAAAGGGTAAATCATGGAGGTTAAATCATAAAAAACCTGATGAAGTTGCACAAACTCACAGAACTAATGATACAGGAGAAGGCAATGATTGAGTCAAACATGCAGGCCTATGGTGAATGGAGGGTTCTAGTAAAATGGTGTAGTGGTTAATTTTATTTGACAACCTGATTGGGCCATGGGGTCCAACAGTATTCTAGGTGTTAGGGAGGGTTTTCTAGATGAGATTAAGGTTTGAATTGGTAGACTGAGTAAAGCATACTATCCTCCCTAATCTGGGTAGGTGTCCTCCAATCAGTTGGACCTGAATAGAATAAAAAGACTAAGAGGGAACTCCTCCTGCAATGACTGCTTGAGTGGGACAAGGGTCTTTTCCTGTCTTCAGACTTGGACTGAAACACTGGTTCTTTTTGGTTCCTGATGGCTTTCAGACCAGAATTTATACYAAAGGTTCTCCTGTTTCTCAGACCTTTGGACTCAACCTGGAACTATATTAATTCTCCTGAGTCACCTGCTTACTGAATACAGATCTGGCACTTCTTAGTCTCCATGATCAAAGGAGCCAATTCTTTCAATAAATCTCCTTCAATATCTACCTGTCTACTTACCTACCTACCTATCTGCCAATATATAATCTCGTATGGGTTCTGTTTATGGCTAAATCCTGTACAAGGGACTCATTTTCCTACTGACACTATTATCAAATTGTTCTAATGAGAGCGTAGAGAATTTTCATTCATTGGTTTCATAAAATTATTTAAAAATTTATGATGTGATTAAGCAAAAACATTAAACTTAATTGGACTGAGTGCTATAGATAAAAGTCTTCAGGCAACCATATGTAAAATTCCTTCCTTGATTTATCAGTTTTAAATGATGAAGGTTGCATATGTCAAGTTTCTCTTAGTTAGATGATATTATCATAATAATGATAATAACAATAGTCAAATTTTGGACAGATGAAATGCTCTGTACTTCTCAAGTACACAAACAATGTACATTTCTTTCATGGAGGCATCTGTGACAACATGTTCTTATCAATGGTTTTGATTTGCAGAGATATTAAGTTAAGACTGTATGAAAGAAATGTTAAAAGAAATATTATAATTCTTACGAATAAAGTAGAAATTCTAAAAAAAGGAGTAAAATTAATCATTTTAGGAAAATTAATGTAAATGAACAGAAAATGCTAGTGAAGTAAAAAGCCCTCACATTTACTTTATAAAAACTTCCCTCCTACAGTAAAAATTACTCCRGTAGACAATACACTTCCTACATATATTTAAAATACTATTCTCTTTTGAGAGAAAGTTTCAATTTACACATTCCTTTTCTGCAATGTGCCATAAAACAAACAATTCCTGCCCCAAATTAATTACATTCTGAGATGGTTTAATTTTTTTGTCAGAAATGAAATAATTTTAACAGTTTATCAGGGGACATCTTTAGATATGCATAGTCTATGAATTCATATAAGCAACCTGTTATAATTTCAAATGCAATCTGACATTTTGAATTCTCAGAAGTTCAGAGCTGAGTGAATATATCTTTATATAATATTCCTGAAAAGGAGTCAGGGAGGTTAGCTGGTTTTAGCAAGTAACTGTCTAAGCTTATTGGTATTAGGTGTCTTGGTAAAAAAAAAATGCTTTCATGTTGTAGTCCATCATATAATGAAATCATAAATAAAATTGATTTGTACTATATGATAACTTATTAAGATTATGATGATATATTAATAATTTTCCAGAAATATTTTTTCTGTAAGATTTTCATTTATGCCAGGTGAACTGGCATACACCTGTAATCCCAGCAACTTGGAAGGCTGAGGCAGGAGGATTACCAATTTCAAAGCCAGTCTCAGCAAGACCCTGTCTCAAATAGAAAAATAAAAAAAAGGTTGGTGATTGTGGCTTGATGATTAAGTACCCCTGGGTTCAATCCCCAGTACCTGAACAACAACAACAATAATAACAACAACAATAAAAGATCTTCATTATGAAGAAGGATATACTATGAACAAAGGCAGCCTTATTTCAGAACATTTCTAGTTGGCATCAAGCTACTAACCTGTTTGATATTATTGGAGACAGGACTTGGAATAATACAATCATCACTGTCAGAATCTGATCTATCCTCTTCATCTGTTAAAAAATAAAAAGGTACATATGTTTACCCAAGTTAAACCATTTTTATTTATACCTTGTGAAATAGAAACAAGCACACATGATAAACTTAAAAGAACAATATGACAATTATTTCTAGATCCTTTTTAGCAGCAAATATGTTTACACATACATTACATTTTAGAAAAAAGAATGAACAGAAATTCCAAGGTAAATTTTGGTAAAATACAAAGGAAATAAAAATTAATATGTAGTTTGYTGTAGTATAAGATTAAACAAAATTTAGATAGAAGCATAACAGATGTTTTCTAATAATCTAACCAGTAATATTGTGTAAAAATCCATGTTATCCTTGCTGTTTAAGAGTTTTAAAACTTTGACTGCTTACTAAGGTAAAAGTGACATATAATAAACTATACACATTTAAAAAGAAAAACCTGAAATGGGATATGTTTAATTCTGTGACACCATCACCACAATTAAGAAAGTGAACATATCCAATAATCCCAAAAGTTTCCTCAGACCCCTCTGTAATCTCTTCTCTGCTGCTCCATGTTCTGGTTCATTCTTCTTCAGCCCACTAACCTGCTTTCTTTTTTTGTTGGGGGAGGTAATGGGGATTGAACTCAGGGGCACTCGGCCACATAGCCACATTCCTAGCCATACTTCTTTTTTAGTTGTAGTTGGATACCTTTATTTCACTTATTTATTTTTATGTGGTGCTGAGGATCAAACCCAGGGACCTGCGCGTGCAAGGCGAGCACTCTACCGCTGAGCCACAAACCCAGCCTCATCAGCCCTCTTTTGTATTTTATTTAGAGACAGGGTCTCACTGAGTTGCCTTGCTGTTGCTGAGGCTGGCTTTGAACTCCTGATGCTCCTGCCTCAGCCTCCCAAGCTGCCTGGGATTATGGGCATTAATCACTGCGCCTGGCACTAACCTGCTTTCTATCACTATGTTTGCTTTTCTAGGCTTTTAAATAAATGAAACCATTCAGTAAGTTGTCTTTTTCTGGTCAGGATTCTTTTTTAAATACTTTAATTAATTAAAATTTGTTTTAATTAGTTATACATGACAGTAGAATGTACTTTGACTCATTGTATATAATGGAGTATAATTTCTCATTCTTTGGTTATACATGGTGTAGAATCCCACCTATCATATAGTTCTATATATGTACATAGGGTAATAATGTCTGATTCAGTCTACTATCCTTCCTATCCCCATATCCCCTCCCCTCCCTTCATCCCTCTCTACCTAAAGTAACTCTATTCTTCCCTAGTGGCCCCCCTCCAATTGTGAATTAGCATCTGCATATTAGAGAAAATATTTGGCCTCTGCTTTTTTGGGATTGGCTTATTTTTCTTAGCATGATATTCTCTAACTCTATCCACTTACCAGCAAATGCCATAATTTCATTCTTCTTTAAGGCTGAGTAATATTCCACCATATATATGTGTGTATGTATGTGTGTGTGTATGTATATAATTTTTTAAATCCATTCATCTGTTGAAAGGCACCTAGGTTGGATCCATAGTTTAGCTATTGTGAATTGGGCTACTATAAACACTGATGTGGCTCCATCACTATAATATGCTGATTTGAAGTCCTTTGGGTATAAACCAATAAGTGGGATAGATGGGTCAATGGTGGTTCCATTCCAAGTTTTAGGAGGAATCTCCATTCTGCTTTCCATAATGGTTGCACCAATTTGCATTCCCACCAGCAACATATGAGTGTACCTTCCCCCCACATCCTTGCCAATGTTTATTGCTGTTTATATTCTTGATAACTGCCATTCAGACTGAGGTGAGATAAAATCTTAGCATAGTTTTGATTTGCATTTCTCTAATTGCTGAAGATGATGAACATTTTCTCATATATTTGTTGATCTCTGGTCAGGATTCTTAAAAAGGTCAAGACTGTAGAGTAATCCAACTGATAATACTGACCCCCAAAGAGAATATGAAACTGTTTAAAACATAAACAGGTCAGTAATGACATTTCTATTCTATTATGGAGATCCACACTGACTTAGAAGAGATACAAAATTATACCTAACAATAGCTAAGCAGACTAATGAACTATAACCCATAGTTTCTGTCAAGAAATAGATACGATGAGGTAGATCTTGCTATTAGATGATGTTTTATGATGCATATGCTAACAGATGAAACAAAATAAAGAGTAATGCAAATAATGGGATTTTAGAAAAGAAAGTCACCTTCTGGTTCCAATTCTTCTGTTATTTCTGTTTCATCCTCAGAAGAAGCCAAGCTTTGTTCTGCAAGTTGACCCTCAGAGAGTAAAGATACATCATCATCCTTTTCTTGCTGGATTTTCTCAGTATTCTCTTTTAACTTAACTATACTGCCTTCTTGAGAAACCTGCTGAAAGAAAAGCACACTCCTATATTTATTATTGCTTAGACCACATTTTATAGTATTCTTCTTTTTAACATAAAAAATTGTAGTTGTAGATGGACAGAATGCCTTTATTTGTTAATTTTTATGTGTTGCTGAGGATCAAACCCAGTACCTCATGCATGCTAGGCAAGTGCTTTGCCACTGAGCTACAGCCCCAGCCCTTAACATTTATTTTTTAGTTGTAGTTGGACCCATTACCTTTATTTTATTTATTTTTATGTGGTGCTGAGGATCAAACCCAGGGCCTCGCACATGCTAAGCTCTACCACTGAGCTACAACTCCAACCCTTATAGTATGCTTGCTGAAGCATCTGAATGATAAAGCATGTAAATATGAGAAATATATAGATATGCAACATATATGTGAAACACTCATTAGAAAATGAAAAATTACATATAAAATGAAAAATGAAATAAAAATATGCATATAAATGAAAACCTTAATATATACTAAAATGCATTTATCTCAAAATGGATAGTTAGTTTTGATTTTTAAAAATTAATTTAAAAATAATTTTTTTCTTTTTTTAATTTTTATTGTTGGTAGTTCAAAACATTACACAGTTCTTAATATATCATATTTCACAGTTTGATTCAAGTGGGTTATGAACTCCCATTTTTACCCCATATACAGATTGCTGTATCACATCAGTTACACTTCCATTGATTTACATATTGCCATTCTAGTGTCTGATGTATTCTGCTGTCTATCCTATTCTCTACT